TTTTTTTAAAAAAAAAAAAAAAAAAAAAAAAAAAAAAAAAAAAAAAAAAAATACATAATTTTCATCTCGAGTACAAGCTTTAGTAATAGTTACTAAATATTTCACTTTCTACTACCAAGATTTTATATTAAAACTTCCAGAATCTAGTTTTGATCACCTAAATATAGTTCAAGCAATTCTTGGTTCTGAGAACTATACATTTACTTTATATAACAAAATTATTTTCCAATTATCACTTTATGTTTGGCCCCAATTATTTGACTAAATAATTTAGCAAGACTAAATAACTACCAAATTTTGGTACTTGTTACGGAATCCTTGTTTCAGAGCCTCATTTACGATGGGGCTTGCATCTTGCATCGTCGTCTCTTTTCGTCTCCGTTTGATTTCACCTTTGCTTCTTCATCACGGAAGAGCCGGTGTATCATCTCGGCTGATTGCGTTATCAGTCGCGCGTTAAGAGTGACCCTTTGGAGAGGCAGAACGGGAGGAGCGCCGGAGCACAGATCTCTATCTCTCATCGCGAAACAATGCTGCCGCCGGTTTAGGGATGGGCGAGCGCCGCGAGCGAATTAAACGTCACGCATTAATTACCCGCCTTCACTCCCCCTCTCCCCGCGCTGCGATGTCCATCGCGCGCGCGATATTAATGGATTACGTACCGCGTCGTCGCTTCCGCCGTCGGGACGGACGGACGCGTCGCTGTCCCGCCGAGCGGGCGAAAAGCTCGATCGTCGGAAGCTGGATACTCGCCGCCGGCCGTTGCACTCTAGTTGCATCGCGCGAGCGAGTGAACGCACCGCCATGACGCAACGCCGATTACATCGCGAGATACGGTCGCGTGATTGTGCCGTATCGCCGGCCTGATTAATCCATCGCGCAATGTCCTGCGCGATTGTTCACCCCATCCTGCCCTAATTTCGACTGTTACACGGGAAAGAAAGTGTTGTAATAGTTGGCAGATGCATTCGATATCAAGCATCTCACAAGGAAACCCACACGGAAAGAAAAGATTTGCTAATATATGGCCAACTAAAAATATTAGCTGCAGGAGTAAATTTTCTTGCTTTAATAGCAAAGTTGTGATATAACTAAGTAACTTTGCTATGAAAGCAAGAAAATTTGCTCCTGCAGCTAATATTTTTAGTTGTCGATATATTAGCAAATCTTTTTTTTTCGTGCACACAAGTGTCCGCCTTCGATTTTCATGAACTAGTAATATGTTGTACTTTAAATAAAAATAACAGATACGTTTTTTATTATATGTGCCTTTTCGCAAGGGGGTGAAATGCCCTTTTGAAGAAAATCGGTTTTTTTCATTGGAAGGGAATATAATGAAAACTATAAGAGATGGAAAAAAATATTTTGGATAAAAGTTGA